TTATCTTTGTGTGTTGCGATGGACCAACCACGTGCCACGGCATGTGGAACAGAAAGCAACTCTTCACTTTTTCTTCTTTTTTCCATGCCCAGGTGGCCTACCATCGATCCAGACCCATTTCTAGGGCTAAATCACAACAATTATGCCAAGTTAAGCCCCTTTTAGCCACACATCTCATTAACTCACTAATTACCCTCATTAGGTTAATAAACTAGGGTTAAATTTCCTAGATGTTACACCTGAACTCTATTCTATAAAGATAATGGTGCCAGATCTTTAATGCAAAGACCACCGTAGCCAACTTGAGATCATGCATTGGATAATTCTCCTCATGTGGCCTAAGCTGTTGAGATGTATATGCCACTGCCCTCTCATCTTGCATTAAAGCACAACCAAGACCCTTATGAGAGGCATCAGTATTCATGTCATAAGGCTTTTGAAGATCTAAAATCACCAACACCAAAGCTGTCATTAACCTTTCTTTCAATCAAGAAAAGCTGTCTTGTACTTATCATCCCAAATAAACGGCCTATTCTTCCTCATAAGCCTAGTCAAAGGCATAAAAATCTGAGAGAAACCCTCAATAAAATGCTAGTAGTAACTTGCTAAACCCAGGAAACTACGAATCTCTATAATCAATTTCAGTCTCTCCCATTGCAAGACCGCTTCAACCTTATGCGAATCAACCGTAATACTATTTGCCAGCATGATATGTCCTAAGAATCCAACCTCTCACATGCTACTCCTCGTCTTTGGAGTAGATCAGTATATCATTAATAAAAACCACCATAAAATAATCCAAGAAAGGCTGAAAGATGCAGTTCATATGGTCCATGAAAACCACAGGCGCATTATTCAACCTAAATGGCATAACTAAGAACTCATAATGGCCATATCGAGTCTTGAAAGCCGTCTTTGCCATATCCTTCTCACTGACCCTCAACTGGTAGTACCCTAAATGTAAATCAATCTTAGAGAAAACCATGGCACCAACTAACTGATCCAAGAGATCATCAATGTGAGATAGTGGGTACTTGTTCTTCATTGTAACCCTATTCAACTACCTGTAATCGATACACAATCTCAAACTACCATCCTTCTTCTTCACAAATAAGACAGGGGATCCTTAAGGAGAAACACTGGGTCTAATAAATCTCTTGTTTAACAGCTCCTCAAGCTGCTTCTTTAACTCAACTAACTTTAAAGGAGCCATTATGTAGGGAGCCTTTGAAATTGGCTGTGTCTCCAATATCAGGTCAATCGAGAATTCAACCTCATGCTCTAGAGGTAATCCTAACACATCCTCTAAAAACACCTCCGGGAACTCCCTAATATCTCAATTTCATCTACTTTACCTACCTTAAACCCTTGGGTAGCAAGCACTACCACGTAGTGAGCACTACCTCAGACAAAAAAATTCATACAAAGCCATACAATCTACACATATTCACACACATATATATAATCACATTCTACTGGCACTTAATCCTAAATACATTATAATAGATTTGCTCAAAAGAAAGGGGTTGTAGTTCTTTACAATTCACAAATAATCCTTAGCTCTACTCCTTTCCTCATCCACCACTAGATTCTTCGCCTAGACCTGTAAATATTGTAAAGATAGTAGTGAGATAACCACAGTCTCAGTAACAAAAAAATCTACATTTATTAGTACAAAGTAAGCCATAGTTGAATAAATGAATAATAGATTAACCATAAAATATACTTTAGTCATTTAAAATGCATGACGTAGGTCGATATGACCTTTCTTGACTGACAAAATGCCCTTGGTACTCTTTAGCTTGCAGGTAAACCATATACCTACTTATACCTCCACAGACATAAAACATAATCTAAGAAATGATTGAATCCACCTAACCACCTGTACTCCTTCGACATGAATCCTAAGTAGTTGGAGCTAACTTCTTTCCAGAGCCAGCCTGACTTACTCTCCATGTAAGGGCTACCTTGGCCTAAGCACTCAACCTTATACTTCATATGTCGAATTCCCTCCCCCACTAAGAGGTGTCAAACACTCAATTTACTAACCACTTTAGTGTACTGAGCCCACAATACGAAAGGCAACACTGAGTACTGGTAGTGTGCCATAAAATATCACAAGTCCACACCTCCCCATTGGTGAACTCCCACCAAGATCATGCCTTTCACTCTTGTCTACCTTTTCCAAGTATTGACCACTTCAATACTCTAAGGTGGTATAACAAATATTAGTCCTCCCTTTAGCAGTTCCTTAGCTTATCTAAGGTACCTAACCTAATTACACTTCCTTAAGTGTAACTTCCATTCTCTATAATTACAATGCATGCAAACAACCTCGTTTCTATAAAAACATTATTGTTAAACAAATAGAAAGCATATATATACTGTTATCCAAGTAGTATCCCATAAGTCTTTATAAAATATAATTAATTGCACTAATCATTTAAAATATGTAATGCATGGTAGTTAATAATATTTATTCAAAAATAGCTAAACAAAATAATAGGAAATATAAATTTCCCTGTTACCTCAATCTTTTTATACCAAAAGGATTTCTCCTTGTACAAAATGAAACTTGGCTTGTTCCTTAACTTTTCAATAAGTTTCACCAACAATTCCCTACAATATATAAGTGATCCACATCACTTTTCATGGAAAATAGCATAAAAGAAGACTATAATTCATACCACACAACTTGGGTCAATGAGCCATAATCCATCTTAATGACCCATATATTAAACCAACTATTCACGTAGTATCACTTAACTATCAAAACCATTTATTAGCCACCACTAGGCCAATTTCCAATTCTTATCATTTTTAATCAACCAAAAACCTTCACTTAGCATTACCAACTTTCACAATTAGCCATTATAATGAAAACCAAAGCTTAATTTAAATTTTATTGGATTTAAATAGCACAATTATAACTAAATAAATAGGCTCAAACCATTGAAGAGTGAAATCTAATCTCTTAGGGTTTGATTTTTACCCTAAAACCCCCTTTTTCAACTAATTGCCCACTCAAAACATTAGAGCGTTATATAAAAACTCAAAACAATCTCCCAAGGACCTAAAGAAACTAAAGATTATAAGAACAAAGCCTTTGGGATTAAAATTTAAAATTTACCTCTTCCAAAAACTTAAGAAAACCAAGAGGGAAAGAAGAGGATTAAAGTAGGAAGTTTACCTACCACTTAGCTAAGCTCGTAACGGTTGCAAAGCCTCTCGAATCCAAGCCCTAGCTCCTTATTTTCCTTTCTCTCTTGGTCTTGTGCGTTTTCTTGCTTCTTTGTTCTCTGTTTTTTGCGTTCTTTTCCCCTTTAAAAACTAAACAAAACAATTTAGGAAAAATTACAAGGAAGGGTCCAACATTTTTTTTTTATTATAGCATAAAAGCCCCAAGCAACTTTGGTAATTTTTTCCATAATTAAAAATAAAATAAATCTAAACTTTTTCTTAGTAAAATTAAAACTCTAGACCTTTATCAAATTATTCTTAATTTTAATTTAATTATAGATATTTTATAATTAAATTAAATTCAAGTCTTAAAATTTTTGGGATGTTACATGATTCACGCGTGATTAAGCACTTATGTTATGAGATGCCTTAAGCTTTATTTCTACATGGAAAATCAAGCATTAAGCCTTTGTTGTCCATGCAAGTTTTAACATTTATGTTTCATTGTATTATGTCAAAGTGTAAAATCACGTGTAAGACTGATGGTAGCCACGTGTGATTTGTCAGTTGTTGCATAATCACATTTAGTTTTGTTGAGTATTAAGTCATCGCAAACCACGTTGTTCACATGTTTGATTATTGATTCATAAATCTATATCTCTTGATCATGCAAAATCTTGCTTGAGTTAGGAGCAGTTCCACACATGAAAATACACCAGACGAGTTTGTGCATTAGTGCTTGCAATTGCACGCGTGATAGCTTTCTGGTTCTACGCAAGTTTTGATCATATAAAATGGCTTTAGCATTCTGCCAACCATTTCATACATGAGAGAGAGAAGAGGTTCCACGCATAATTTGTCACACAAAACTGATGATAGTTTCTTATGTGCAAAACTATATCTAAGAGCTAGTGGTGTACTCACAAGTTTTAGCACTCTAATATGTAAGTTTACTGATAAGTGCAAAACCATGTGAGAGAGTAATGAGGTATCATACAAGTTTTAGCACACAAAACTAGATGCTTTTTTAGGAGTGCAAAACCACACGTGAGCGGTCAAGGTATTCATGCGTGATTTATCACATATACATTTTTGGAACAATTCGTGTGGAAATTCAAGCATGATTCTATCAATCACTCATAAGAAAATACACCATCGGATAGAATCATTGTTCTAACGGTCTATCAACTACCAAAATTATATATGTGAGTCATTTTGAGCCAGAACAAGAACTAATGATCCTTGAGTGAACAAATTATCATTTGTGCATTTAAAGAGCTTTCATATTGTACTTTTACAATCGTGCATTCATTCATTATTCTTGAAAAGAATTGTGAAAAGCTCTCATAAGTTTATAAGCTTTTAATTGTAATTTTATCTACTCTTTAAGAGAGTTTTCTGTTAAAGCTTATTTCTTTTATCAGAATTCTTGAAAAGGTATTTTTCAAGTGTTTGTAACAACTTACTAGATTGAAACAAGGTTTGCTAAGTGAATCAAGACAAGTTTAGTCTTGAGAGTTGTACTGTGGTGACAAGCACCCATTGAAGCTTGTGAATTTAATTAAAAATCTCAAGTGTGATCTTGAAGACTGGATGTAGGCCAAGTTTGTGGCTGAACCAGTATAAATCTCGTGTGTTTTATCTTCTTCATTCACACTTCAGTTCTTCACTCTTTTCAAGTTTTCAAAAGTTTTTAAGTGTCACCCAATTTACCTCTCTCTTGAGTGCTAGCCTATCCTAACAAGAAGAGAAAAGCATATAGAGAGAAAGTTCAATCAATTTTCCACACCCTCTTTTCACATTCCTCTAGCATCATATACCCTCATTTTCCAATACCTTCCACATTTTCTTATGCTCACGAGAGCTGCACCTAATGACATCTTCTGTCTTATTCTTGGGCCTTCGATTTAGTACCACCTGTTCCTTTAGGTTTCCTTGTAAAAATCCGCTTGATTCACCAATACCTGCAACCACATCATTACCACAATTAGCTGCATTCATGACAGAACACCAAGTTGTGTTATTTGGAACCAACCTCAACTAACGGGTTAGATGGAATGTAACAAGCACAGGAAGCAAGTCCAACTCAGATTGGAACTCTTTATTTGCAATAAGGTGTTAGCTCCTCTGGCAAGGACGATGCACAAGGATATTTAAAGATAATAACAGCAGTAATGAGTCCATCCACGCTCAAGCGATGTCGATTTTGTAAAGTCTGCAGAATCATAAGTTCTTCAATAAGGAATGTGAACCTATCAGGGAAAATTCTGAGGGTTAGCAGCTCATATTGGAAGACACCTCCGAAACATTGGCGTTAGTCTATGTTGATGGAGCGTTCTCGGAGTACGCTGCGAAGGTGTTATAAGAGATCATTCAAGGTCATTTATTTCAGGCTTTCTCTGTGGTGATGTTAGAAAAGAAAGTTTGGAGGTTGAGTTGTGGGCTATTATTTAGCTTAAAAGAGGTGTGGGATGCAAGATTTAGGAGAATTGTTGTTGGAAGTGATGCTCGAGGTTATTAACCTGATTCAGAATAATAATAATTATCTCCATATTTATAGAGGTTTAATTTGATCGAGCAAATATAAAGCATGCTGAGTCAAGAATAGGAAACCATTATTTGCCACATTAATAGAATAAGAAATGTTGTCACTGCCCACCTCGCCAAGTAGGCATTTATCAGCTAGCTTGGATTTCACAGACTTGCATCAATAACCAAAGAGGCGAATGTTTTATCAGTAGAAGATTGTAATGATTTGGCTCAGCATTAGGCAGGCTCCGTCTTTGTTGACCCATGCGACATGATAAGGACAAATTTTTAATTATTTCCTTTTCCTCTTTTTATTTGTCTCCGGACATTCTATGGATGTGTATCTTTATAAGAAATTATAACTTAATAAAATGTGACTCCTTGATATTGTACTCATTGTATATTTTTCTAGTGGGCTATAACGCATTATAATTGTTTAAATTTTTTTTCTTTAGCACATTTCTTAGATTGCATAAAATATGTTTACAATTGTTGATTAAAAACAATATAGTAGATCATTGTATAGGTGCTTGGGTCATAGAGGATCTTTTCTAGAATAATAAGAGCATATGCATTAAAACATTAAATTTAGATGCCTTAATATAATATAGGATGAAGTAATTAGGGGGAAAAAAGAAATGAAAGTAATTTTTGTGAAACTCAAAAAATAATAAATCTCATCCTTGCGCCTCTTCCTTTTTTAAATTCAAACAAAATATAATTTAAAAAGTCTTGATTATTCTTAAAAAATAAAAAAGATATTGATTAATAAATCATAATCTTCACAATGTGACAAATTAAAGTTTGAATTCCCATTGAAATAGGTGTTCATATTTAATGCCTACCTACATTTTAAATATAATTGCTTCTAATAGAAGAAAACCGACAAGCCTTAGAAAAAGACTTGTTTTTTTTTTTACAATTTTTTATTTTTGTGCATACTAAAAATTTAAACACCTATAGCATGTGAAAAAAAATTAAAATATAATTTAAAAATAAATTAATAGAAAATATGTTAATATGATATAAAAATATATAATATAAAAAGATACTATTGTTACTAGTCTTTTTCAAACAGGCTTTAATATTTTTAACAAAATGTATAAAAAAAGTATAACCAAAATATATTGTAACAAAAAAAGTTGAGAAAAGTAATTAAATAATTTTTTTAAACAACGGTGATGATGGCCCCATAACACTGTTCATTCCACCTTTAATCCATAAACTTGCTTTGCAACCAGGTTAGAAAAGAATTTTCTAAACTGATTGTGTCTGAAACTTTTTAAGCTACCCATATCTAATTCAGTTTAGGAAAGTTTTTTTAAAAAAGAAAAAAAAACTGGTTTGGCTTTTTTCCTGCTAGTGTAATCACACTTACTTAGGTATAGTGTTTTTAGAATGTACCGCGATCATGAATTACAAAATTTAAGGCTTGTTTGATTTTTTTTTTTTTTTAAACATTGATGTAGAGTAGTAGTTTTTCAGAACAAGTTTTGAAAATAAAGAAAATATATGCTTGGGTCATCATTTTGAAAAACATATTTAAATTGATGAAATAAAGGGTGAAACAATAATTTCTTTTATATTATTAACATAATTATCGTTAACAAAAATATGATATTTTCTATCTTTTATTCGGTTTTGTATAGCAAAAAGTAATACAACATTTAAATGATGTTATGATTTAGTTTTTAGTTTTCAAGAAAAACTTTTAACTTTTTTTATATTTTTTTAGAATTGACAAATAGAGTCATTGTTAATAAGAATCAGGTCACCCTTTTAGACTTTTTTTGAGGTTCAGGCTTAAAAAATAGAAGATTTTAGTATAAAAGAGCTTTTAGACTTTACCTTTATATAAGCCCTGCAAAAACAAACTCATGCTAGCCATTCTAACTTTTTTTGTAATTTTGTTTATATAATTTACTTCATGTTTTGCATTAATATATGAGAATCACATAATTTATTAAATATTTATTCTAAGTGACAAAGATGAAATTGGTGAGGTTGTTGAAATAGTGCCACCACCTCCAAATTCCTTTGAAGGGTCTAAATTTTTATTTTTAAATGAAAATTGATGATAATAAGGACTAAAGAATACTTACTTTTTTTCATCAATAAAAGAATATTTACAATTTGGATGATAGACTTGTCTAATGTATATACAAGGGCATGTATTATTTCAATTATATTTTGAAGTTTATTATTGTCTTTTAAATACTTAATTAATTAAGATACTTTATAATGTTTATAATTATTAGTATAATTAGAAATTTTGATTTAAAAAATAAAGACCAATTTGGAGAAAAATACTAATTTTAGAATAAGAATATCTATAGGCTTGAGCTTTGAAGGCTGGACAAACTCAGTCGGGAGGGAGTAGTGTATGTTTTAGTGCATTTTTTTTTTTAACTTTCACTGAGCTCAAGGTTTATGCAAAGAATTATGTAACTCAAGTGGAGGGAGGGACCTTGTGTCTTCATTTTAGCCAATTTTTGGTAAGTTTTATCATAAAGGTATTTGTTTTTTAAGTATGCTCAAGCTCTCTGTGATTGTTTTTTTTTTTATATTGAAATCTGAGATAGCTTAGGAAATTAACAAAACTAAACAAAAATGATAAATACCAAATGTGATATTGGATGTGTCTGTGTGTGTCTATAATATAATAGAACAAGACAACAAAAAGGAAATGACGGAGGAATGAATTCTATGTGTGTTCTGTTATCTCCTTTTTTGAAAAATTTGTATAAACATTATAAAAAAATTATATAATACTTTTATTCTATGCAAGGATCATGCAAGTGGAGGATGAATCAAAAGCCAAAATAGAGAGGGAATTTGAAAGTTTAGATGAGGCATAGAAGTTTTGGAGAGAATATGGTAAAAAAGAAATAGATTTTGATTTAGAAAGGGTACTTCTACAGAGATTAGAAAAGATACATTCATTATTATATATAGATACTTATGTTTTAAGGAAGGTGTTTAGAGAAAAAAATGAAAAATAGAATATATTCTTTCATACAAAGGCCAGGAACAGGACCAAGTGTAAAGCAATAATGGTAATATCTCTTATAGGGCAAAAGTTCAAAATTATTGTGTTTGATAAAGAACATAATCACCCTCTTCATATAGAAGCATCTTGCAGAAGAATCTGGGCGTGAGCCTATAGTTGCTTTTATCAATAGCTTAGGCGTATGAGATTAATCTTGCAGAAGAATCTAGGCTTGAGCTTACGGTTGCTTTTAACTTAATAAGTATATTTTCCAGTGGTCAAGAAAATCTTAGGTGTATGATGAAAGATGTGAATAATTACTTAGAGCCTAAAAAAAAGTAATGTATGAAGTTTGGAGAGGTAGGATGTCTACTTCAATATTTTCAAAAACAAATTGCAGAAAATCTTGCATTCTACCACAAATATCAATTATACTCAAAACAACACATCACTAATGTGTTTTAGGCCGATGCTCGTATGCTAATAGATTATGCACCTTTTTGGTGAGGTTGTATCATTAGATACAACATATAGTACTAATTGGAATCATTGACCCCTTGCACTCTTTTATGGGTTCAATCATTACAAAAGTGTGGTCATTATTGGAGCAACACTATTGTATGATGAGACTATCGAGTCTTTTAAGTGGTTGCTAGAAATATTTTTAGATGCTCATATACAAAAGAAGCCTCAAACTATATTTATAGACCAAAATCATGCTATGGCAAGAGCATTGTGTGAAGTTTTTCCTAATATAAAACATTGTTTATGTTGTTGGCAGTTATTGAAAAATGGTGTTAAACACCTTGAAAACTTGATGAAAGAAAGGTCATGATTTTTAACTAATTTCAAAAAATGCATGTTTGATTATGTTGATGTAGATAAGTTTGAAGAAGAATGGAGTCAATTATTTTCTTCTTATAATATCTAGGAAAATAGGTAGTTGAACCCTATTTATGATCCAATAAGTGGGATCGGCTATATGAATTGTACGATGTCATTATACTTTATCATAATATTATCATAAAAATATCTATTGTCCATATCCATATAAGATTCAACAAATTTTTATGTTGGCTGTTGAACTCTACTTATGATATTAAGGAGAAATGGGCTTCGTACTATGTGAAGGATGCTTGCACACTAGGTATAAGAAGCACAAAGGTTAGTGTAAGTGTGAATACTGATGTGAAAAGATGTATGAAACCAAAATTAAACATCAATCAATTCTTTAAAAGGTTTGACAAAGTTGTAGCAAAGAAGCAATATAAGGAAGTGGAACTTGAGTATGAATCTTGACGGAAGATTTATAGGATGGTCAATCAAAGTTCACCTATCTTCCACCAACTCTTGCAAGTGTATGCCCCATTATCTTTAACATGTTCCAAGAATAATGGTATCTCCAATTCTCTATGAAGTTATCTACTTGTGATAATAAAGATTCATTATTTATATATACTACCCATATGATTGATAAGGAAGG